CCCTCTCTGGAGACCAGCGAGATGAAGAAACATCCAGAGAGCTGTCTCTGTGATCTCTCTCAGATATTAAAATTCAAAGCCCTTCTGTAGCTGCTCTTTCTATCTCTGCTCCACTCTGAGCCCTTATTTATGTGCTTTTTGGCTCTTTTTCTCAGTCTCTATCAGTGACGTTATTAGGCCTTATCAGCCAATCAGTGTTGACTCGATCCTGCATTGGGAAAAGCCTTGTGACATTCAAAACACAATGCAACTCAGCAAAAGTTGCAAACGCATTCATGAAATACACTTGTAAGAAACAAAAGTGAGTGAATGATCCCTGCAGGGTCTCAGGAGGCCGTCTTTGTATATGAACAAAAAGAAAAGTCTGCCTGCAGATTGCGGCTCCTGATTAGACAGCACTTAACACTGCTCATCTTGCTTTTTACTTCACAGAAACCCCACCTCTTAAGAAAACAATGTATTTTTATGAGTGCTTCAGAGAGAGATAAAGCATATAAGAGTTACAGAGAGATGTTTTTTCTTAATGCATTTACTCCACAGATGCATAATGCAGGTGAGCTATATAGAGCAAAATGTGCAATGCTTCACTGATTGCAGCAGGACCGGTTTGTTGCATCGCTCGCTCCCAGCACAGACGTGGTCTAAAGTGAAATTTGATTAAAAGATTGCATTTGTTTTCTACAGAATTTCATGGTTAAGATGAAGAGTGTAGTCAGGTCAACAAGACAAAGACAGCAGAGATGAGACGAGAAAAAGATGAAGAGGTAGAGAACATTATGGGGCGCCAGGTCATTACAATCTTTTAAAAATGCAACAAAAAGAATAGAACTGATCCAAAGAGAGGTGATTTATATAACAAATTAGAAAAGTTGAAATGCTGTAAAAGCAAACAAAATTAGTTACATACTGTGTAAATTTGTAAAAAAAAAAAATAATTAAAAAGCAGAAAAGCTACGGATGGATGGAACGATAGATAGCTAAATAGAATGATAGAACGATAGACAGAATGATAGAACGATAGATAGAACGATAGAACGATAGATAGAACGATAGATAGATAGATAGATAGATAGATAGATAGATAGATAGAAGTGACGTTATTAGGCCTTATCAGCCAATCAGTGTTGACTCGATCCTGCATTGGGAAAAGCCTTGTGACATTCAAAACACAATGCAACTCAGCAAAAGTTGCAAACGCATTCATGAAATACACTTGTAAGAAACAAAAGTGAGTGAATGATCCCTGCAGGGTCTCAGGAGGCCGTCTTTGTATATGAACAAAAAGAAAAGTCTGCCTGCAGATTGCGGCTCCTGATTAGACAGCACTTAACACTGCTCATCTTGCTTTTTACTTCACAGAAACCCCACCTCTTAAGAAAACAATGTATTTTTATGAGTGCTTCAGAGAGAGATAAAGCATATAAGAGTTACAGAGAGATGTTTTTTCTTAATGCATTTACTCCACAGATGCATAATGCAGGTGAGCTATATAGAGCAAAATGTGCAATGCTTCACTGATTGCAGCAGGACCGGTTTGTTGCATCGCTCGCTCCCAGCACAGACGTGGTCTAAAGTGAAATTTGATTAAAAGATTGCATTTGTTTTCTACAGAATTTCATGGTTAAGATGAAGAGTGTAGTCAGGTCAACAAGACAAAGACAGCAGAGATGAGACGAGAAAAAGATGAAGAGGTAGAGAACATTATGGGGCGCCAGGTCATTACAATCTTTTAAAAATGCAACAAAAAGAATAGAACTGATCCAAAGAGAGGTGATTTATATAACAAATTAGAAAAGTTTAAATGCTGTAAAAGCAAACAAAATTAGTTACATACTGTGTAAATTTGTAAAAAAAATAAATAAATTAAAAAGCAGAAAAGCTACGGATGGATGGAACAATAGATAGCTAAATAGAATGATAGAACGATAGACAGAATGATAGAACGATAGATAGAACGATAGATAGAACGATAGATAGATAGATAGATAGATAGATAGATAGATAGATAGATAGATAGATAGATAGATAGATAGATAGATAGATAGATAGATAGATAGATAGATAGATAGATAGATAGATAGATAGATAGATAGAATGTAAAAAGCAGAACAGCTACGGATGGATAGATGGATGGGTAAACAGAATGATTGATAGAAACGATAGACAGCTAAATAGAATGACAGAACAGACAGACAGACAGATAGATGGATAGATGGATAGATAGATAGATGGATAGACAGAATGTAAAAAGCAGAACAGCTACGGATGGATGGATGGATGGATAAACAGAATGATTGATAGAAACGATAGATAGCTAAATAGAATGATAGAACAGACAGACAAATAGATAGATAGATAGATAGATAGATAGATAGATAGATAGATAGATAGATAGATAGATAGATAGATAGATAGATAGATAGATAGATAGATAGATAGATAGATAGATAGATAGATAGATAGATAGATAGAATGTAAAAAGCAGAACAGCTACGGATGGATGGATGGATAAACAGAATGATTGGTAGAACTATAGATAGCTAAACAGACAGACAGACAGACGGATAGATGGATAGATAGATGGATGGATGGATGGATGGATGGAAGGATGGATGGATGGATGGATGGATGGATGGATGGATGGATGGATAATGATTGGTAGAACTATAGATAGCTAAACAGACAGACAGACAGACAGACAGACGGATAGATGGATAGATAGATGGATGGATGGATAGATGGATGGATAGATGAATGGATGGATGGATGGATGGATGGATGGATGGATGGATGGATGGATGGATGGATGGAAAAAATGGAAAAAGCAGAACAGCTACGGATGGATGGATGGATCAACAGAATGATTGATAGAACGATAGATAGCTAAATAGAATGATAGATAGAACGATAGATGGATAGAACGATAGATGGATAGAGAATCATATGATCAAACAGCCTAATAATGCAGCATGAGTGTGTTACCTTGGCAACAGAGTCTTCAGTACAACAGTAATTAAAGTGAAAATAGACATCTCATTAAAACAGTGAGGGCTCTGAGTTTTATAACTCTAAACTATGATATCATACTGTAAGATGTGGCAATGCACATTCAGAGTCAAACGCAGAGGCAACAGAACCAAAATTAGAAGCAATCAATAACTGCTTTACTAAAGTTTCTGAGCTTATAGTTCTGATTGAATGTGACGGGAGAGAAAGACAGGCAGGATAAAACCCCAAGACAATCAATAATCTTTCAAAACTGCATGCAGCAATAAAAATGCTGTGCTACCAATGATTCCCAAACAAATGACTCTGAGGCGATTCTTTTAAATGAACTGGTCAAAAAAGACTCACAGATCAGTGTCAAACTCATAAGCAGCCTACTTAAATAATGTTGGGAGCTGTAATCATTCAGTGGAATTGGAAACAGAATTATTCAATTTCTCATCCAGGAAAATGTCAGACTGAACGCTTACACAATCACGTTTGATGAAATGTCAGAGTTGTGTTTACACCCAAACACGCACCGCAGCTGCGGCCCATTTGTAACCGTGTGCCGTACGTGTGCACGAGTGTGAGAACCACTCGAGCTAATACAGCTGCAAACATTTAACCCCGTGTTACATCAGTAAATTCTCACCAGCACAGCCACCACCCAGCGGCTCAGATCCAAGACATAGTGACCTGCCTACATAGACAGCTGCCTGTTAGATGTCACAGACCCCCACAAATGAATTTCCTCATGTGATGGACCCCCAAGATAAAATGTAAAAAGCATCTATTTAGTTCCTTGTATAAAGACTCAATTTATACTGTGAAAAATGTATATTACAAATATGTCTAAAATACAATTACTTTATTTCGATTAAGCTGCATTATTATTTTTTACTATTTTTATACAGTATATAGTACTTTACTGTTAGATATTTATGTATTATGTATAGTGCATTTTGGCATACCTTTTTTTCCATAATGCAATGCTGCCTATCTATTAAAGAAGGTACCTATTAAGGCATCATTGCTGAGATAGTAAAAAACAGAGAACAAATTAGAGAAAGCAGTAATGTGTCTGTTGAACCACTAGGTGGCGTCAAAGCATACAGAAAGTCACTGGCAACACACTGGCCCCTCTGCACTGTCCCCAAATGCCCACCTACGCCTCTCCTGTTCAAGGTACAGCCGCTGTGCTCATTCAAGCCCTCTAAATAATGAAATAATAGCTTCAAATAATACTCTAAACAATAACTTTCTTTCTTTACTTTTCCACCTACTGCCAACAGATTACTGAACACGAAACATGATGAAATAACCAAGATATTAAATTCTCATTTCTTAGCTCATATAAACACAGAGTTGAGCCTGCATTTCTTTTTAAAACTGTAATGATTGTTGATGCATTTTTTTCTAAAGAGTAAAGATTCACATTCAATGAATAACCTAATATTAGTTTAAGAGTATGATGAAATCTATAATTCATTGTTATTACAATTAGGGCACTTGTAGTTACAGTTTCTAAAGGTGTTTTGGTTACTTTTATGTTTTCTATAATCTGTTTTATACAAACTAAACTAAACGAATATCATATCATATCATAATAGTATAATATAATATAATATAATTTGTACTATTTTTATAACCAATTATAGTTTGTTTTATATAAACTACATATATAATTTTATATAAACTATATATATATATATATATATATATCATATATAATGACATTTTTACATGCAGTTTAAGTGTCCAAATACTTTTGGGGTCACTGTATTTTGCATAAATAGTTCCAAATACATTGTGTACATTTTACAATTTTTATAACAAACTATATTTTGTTTTATAGAAGCTATTATATACAGGGCCGTCCTTAGCAGTGTGAGGTATGGAGTGGGGCTTTTTTTATATATTTTGTTTTGTAAAAACCTCTCGGTTACATTAAGTAACCCCTGTTCCCTAATGGAGGGAACGGAGACGTTACGTCGACACTGACGTTAGGGGCCTCACTGGGAGCCCCAATCACCGCATTACAAGAAACGGCCAATGACAATAACTGCAGGGGTGAACACAGCGCTGAATGGGCTGTATAAACGCAGCAGAGAAGGTCCTGAAGTTCGTCGTTTTCTTGTTTGTTCTTTTTCAGAAGAACAGGCACCCACAAAGCGATCGGCTCCGAAGAAAAAATCTGAATGAGTGGATGCACGTCGCCAACTTATATACCTGTATGTACGGGGAGGGGCTTGCCAAGCAAATTCCACTCACTGATAGTCATTGGCCGTTTCTTGTAATGCTCAGAGGTGATTGGGGCTCCCAAGTGAGACCCCTAATGTCCGTGTTGACGTAACGTCGAATGTGACTGAAAGGGAACTATACTATACTATAC